GCCTGAGGGGGATTTGGGGTGAAAATGGGGAGTTTGGGGCAGAAATGGGGAATCTGGGAGCCTGAGGGGGAGTTTGGGGCGCCTGAGGGGGATTTGGGGTGAAAATGGGGAGTTTGGGGCAAAAATGGAAAATTTGGGGTGTCTGAGGGGGGATTTGGGGCGTCTGAGGGGGAGTTTAGAGTGTTTGAGGAGAATTTGGGGTGAAAATGGGGGATTTGGGGAGTCTGAGGAGGAATTTGGGGTGAAAATGAGGAATTTGGGGAGCCTGAGGGGGAATTTGGGGTGAAAATGGGGAATTTGGGGGTTTTGAGGGGGATTTGGGTCAAAAATGGGGGATTTGGGGCAAAAATTGAGAATTTGAGGAGCCTGAGGGGGAATTTGGGGTGAAAATGGGAAATTTGGGGGTTCTGAGGGGATCTGGGGAGTTCTGAGGGGAATTTGGAAGTTCTGAGGGGATTTTGGTGTGAAAATTGGAGGTTTTGGGGGTTTTGAGGGAAATCTGAGGAGCCTGGGGGGATTTTGGGGCGCCTGGGGGAATTTGGGGTAAAAATGAGAATTTGGGGGATTCTGAAGGGGAATTTGGGGGGGAAATTGGGGATTTTGGGATTCTGAGGGGAATTTGGGTGAGATTTGGGGGATCCTGGTGGGATTTTGGGGTGAAAATGGGGGGTTAGGGGGGATTGAGGGGATGCCTGACACCGCCACCCACAGAGGGGACAAGTCAGGGTTCCCCTAAATTAATTTGGGGTAAATTTGGGTTTTTTTGGTGCTCCCAGACAGAATGGAGCTGGCACTGGGAGTCAGATTTGGGTTTTTTGGGGCGATTTTTCCATTTCTGACCCAAAATCCCGGGGATTTTTGGGGTGCCTGACCCCACCTCAAAAAAAAAAAGACAAATTAGGGTTTCCCTAAATTAATTTAGGATAAACTTGGGGTTTCTTGGTGCTCCCAGGCAGGATGGAGGTGACACTGGTGGATTGGATTTGGGCTGTTTTGGGGCAATTTTTCCATTTCTGACCCCAAATCCTGGGAATTTTCAGGATGCCTGACCCCACCTCCTAAAAAAAAGACAAATTAAGTTTCACCCAAATTAATTTGGGATAAATGTGTTGTTTTTTGGCATCCCAGGCAGGATGGAGGTGACGCTGGGGGGGTCAGATTTGGGTTTTTTTGGGGCGATTTTGCCGTTTTTGCCCCCGAATCTCGGGGATTTTTACCTCCCTGACCCCAAACCCCGGGGATTTTCGGGGTGCCCAACCCCGGCTCCCCCTGAGGAAACATTTTGGGGTGAATTTGTTGTTTTTTGGCGTCCCAGGCAGGATGGAGGTGACGCTGGGCACGGCGGCGCTGGCGCTGGCGCTGCTGCTGCTGCCGCTGCTGTACGAGCGCTGCGGCTCCTTCCGCTTCTTCTGCAAGATGGGTTTCTACAACGGCTGGATCCTGCTGCTGGCCCTGCTGGCCATCCCCCTGTGCGCCCTGCGGGGCAGGGACGTGGAGAACATGAAGTGAGGAGGGGA